CAGTTCAAACAAGCTGCAATCTGCAGGGAGTATTAAAACTAGGTGGACTTTCATCATTCAAAACACTGTTTTAGCAGATGGAGATAAACAGGGAAAGACACTTTATATGAATCTTTAAAATAAGACAGGATCTATAGGAAAATCAAGTTTTCTTTACCCATGCTATTAGTAAGAAACAGCTCACAATATTTTAACCTTAACAGGTCTGGCATCCTCCTCCCCAAATATTGTTCCCACAAGTTCTGTATTTTCCTAAGGCTCTGTTCCCTAATACTACTACTTTCTCCTCCTGTAGTTCTAGAAGCATCAGAAATGGGCCTCAGAAAGGAAAGGCTGGGGTTATTAATCCATTTCATTTATTATCCAGGGTGAGCACTTCTAGATCTTCAGTTGAGTACTAACATCTGAGGAGTTTGTCAGAGCACCCAAGAAACACTCTTTGCTAGGAGTAGAAGTACAAAGAAGTGCCCCCAAAACAGCCTGGACCAACAATACTAGAAGCTATTTTTGAATAAACCTGATCATCTATACTAACTTCTTGTTATCCATTCCCAGGAGGGTAGAAAGAACCTTAACAGGAAACTCAGATTCATTTTCTCCACTCTTTCTCTGATAACAATACTGTAGTCAAGTGACCACTAAACAAGCATTAAGTAAAATTTCTCCCTAAATCCTATAAAATCAGTACCTAAATGACAAAAGGTCAACTATACATACTTGATTACAGACTTCCCACAATTAACTCCAAACTAATTCATATACATATATTTGCACCATCTTCTTGCTCACTACAAATTAGCCAAATATATTTGGATACAAGACAGAAGTTACATAATTCAAATGTATACTAAATTCCTCTTTTCAAGGCTGACTATCCTAGGCCATAAATTCAAACATACCATGTGTCACTTAAGAGAAAAAAATAAAACTTATATGCCAAAATATTACTGACCCCACATACAACCCTGACACAGTATCTACGACATGCAATAAGGGAATATAAGATTCACAATGATCCAATCACTCCAGAATCCTTAACACTCAGAAAACTTTCACAGAATTTTATTTTAAGGTTACCCATTTCTTTTTTTGATCCTCACCCAAGGATATTTTTTCCATTGCTTTTCAGAGAGAGTGGGAGGGCAAGAGAGACCGAGAGAGAAACATCGATTTGAGAGAGACACAGCAATTGGTTGCCTCCTGCAAGTACCCTGACCAGGACCAGGGACAGAGCCTTTAACCAAGGGTATGTGCCCTTGGCTGGAACTGAACCTGGGACCCTTCAGTCCATGGGCCGATGCTCTAACAACTGAGCCAAACTAGCTAGGGCAGGTTATCCATTTCTTAATACCCAAACATACTGTAAGAAATTTTCTGTTCATATAATGTGGGTATAAATAAAGAACAAGAATGAGTAATCAAAGACAATCTCAGTTGTCCTTACAATAAACATTGTAAAACTTAATAAAATTAGTTATGAAATATGTCAAGCACACAAAAAGGCATAAAAATGTAACAAATACCTATGTGTCCACCACCCAGTTTAAGACATAAAACATTACCAAAATAGTTACAACCCCTGGGGTACTATCATTAACTGCACTCCACTTCCTTCAACGTAAAGATATCCACTCCCAGGAATTTAGCATTTACTACTTCTTTGTATACTTTTACCACACACGTACGTAGTACATCTTCCTAAATCAATAAGTCTCAATCATATTCCTAAACCAATGAGGATCAGCGACAATTTTGTTCCTCATGGGATATTTGGTAATATCTGGAAATATTTGGGGTTGTCATGACTGCAACTAGTGGGTAGAGACTAGGAAAGCTGGCCTACAATGCACAGAAAAGTCCCCTACAACAAAGAATTATCTAATCAGTCCAAAACAGCCATAGTACCAAAGCTAAGCAACCCTGCTCCAAACAATAAACAGTATTGTTTTGCACTGTAACATATCATAGGTTTTCTTTCCAAAAAACTTTTATTTTCTTGCTTTATTTACTCAACATTAATGTTCTCTTCTGTACAGAACTTCACTGTATAAATTCATAGTTTGTTTATCCATTCTTCTGTTGATGCACCTTTAAGTTTTTTCCAATTTTTTGCTTTTACATACCATACTTCTGTGAACATTCTTATACAAGGCTTTTGGTGCTCAATGAGAGATTCTGTCTAGGGCAGTCATTTTCAAAGTGTGGTTCTTGAACCCCTAGGGTAGTCCCCAAGGCTCTTTTTAGGGGCTTCATGAGGTCAAAAGTATTTTCATAACTATACCAAGATTATATGTGTCTTTTTCATGTTGGCATTGCAATGGTAAGTAAAAATGATAGTGATTTAGCCAAGTACACTCATTAATGAGACATATGGATAGCCTGTACCTCCTGAAATAATGCATTCTAGTGCAAAACACCACATCTAATGCTATTCATACCTAAAACACATGTGAATTTAATCATGAGAAAACATTAGACAAACCCAACTTAAGGGATATTCTATAAAATGACTGGTTAGTGTCAATGTCCTGAAATATGAAGAAAGACTGAGTAACTGGCCAGAATGGAAGAGGCTGAATGACACTAAATGCAATGTGTAGTCCTGGATTGGATCCTAGACCAGAAAAAGTACATTAGTGGGACAACTAGTGAAACCTCAATAAGGTCTGTAGATTAGTTAATAGTGTTGTATCTTTCTGGTTTCAATAGTTGTACTTTATAAGACAATATTTTAGGAATATGACTGAAAGGCAAAAGGGAACTCTCTTTACTAGTTTTGTAATTTTTTGTAAGCCTGAAATTATTTTAGAATGAAACACATTTAATTTTTTTAATTATGTAAATAAATACCATGTACTGTATGTAATAAATATAGCATTTATTAAATCTTCAAAATGTAATATAATGCTAAGGGACATCTATTATTATATATATTTTGAAGAGGGGGGAAAAAAAGGAAAACAAGGAAAGTGGTATTATAGTCCTGGGGCAAAACCAGAGTCAAGAGTTTGTGATTTGCTCCAGCATTTCATAAGAAGGCTGGCTGTGCTGCATCTAGGAACGCTTTTAAGGTGTTTGCTAAAAGAATAAGTTGAACGATTGCTACACACAACAAATTAAATAATGTGTGGAATAATCTTGTAAATTAAGATTTTCAAACAATTACTTCTGAAAAACACCTGCTTTATATAAAATAATGAAACTATTTATAGGACAGATATACTCCATACTACACAACATTAACATCCATTTAACAAATCGCGGTAGTATAGGATTTGTTACACTTTACCTTTACCCTGGGAAGGTATTTAAACTTCCCTATAAACCTACAATTACTTTTCCCATGATGCCTCCAAATTACTGAGTTGTGGTCAAGCTTTAGCTTGAGCTAACATGATAAAATTTTAAGACTGCACAAAAACAAGTATAGGCCTCATACAGAGTAGCTAGGAATGTAAATTAGTAAAATGTCTTCGGAGGGCAATTAGTCGGTATCTATCAAAATATTAAATATGTGTATCCTCTGATGCAATTCCACTTCACGTGTACTCAGCACAAATGCACAAGGATACACATACAAGGATTTATTCATTGTATCTTTGTAAATAAGAAGACCTGAAACAACATAAATGCCCATCAAAAAAGCACTAGATAAATAAAATACTGCCTCCAGCCACTGGAATACAATGCAGCTACGAAAGAATATGTGCCAATTAAGAAACAAAAGTGTAGAAGAGAATATAGTTTATTACCATTTTTGCTTAAAGGGCAATAGATTTACAGTATATTAATATATATGCTTGCAATGAATAGAGCATTGTGTAAAAAATACACAAGAAACGCTAACAATGATTGCCCCTTTTTAAACTGTTGGATCTTTTCTTCTGGTACTGCATATACATCTTTTTCAATGTTTAAAAAACCAGCTAGGAAACACAATTTTATGAATTATCTACTCAAAAACTTGGTTGACTTGTATTCATATCCCTTTTTATTGCTGCTAACGGTAACTATGTACCCACTTCAGGATGATAGGCTTTGTCAGAAGTAGCTTCTTTGTGCATTCTAAAAAGTATCAGATTTTAAATTTGAACTATTTTCTACTGAATACTATTAAGGATAAACCTATATGAAAATAAACTTGATTAAAATAAATTAGACATTTATTTTATATTATGTAAAAAATTCTAGAGTCAGTAACACACAGATCCCTGAAATTTTGTGACTCAAGGGCACTGACTCATTGCTGTGTTAATGGATAAGTCTCTGACAAAACCTTACATATGAAATGAGAAGTTTTTATATATAAAAAAACATATATATACACACACACACAAATATATCAGGTGTTTCCTATGTTTATCTTCCACTTGGAAAAAGTATTCAGCAAAAACAAATGATTCAACAGCTTAGACTGTTTCCCCACTATTGGTATAACGATATAAAATGAAACAATTTAGATTAAAAAAATCATTCCACAGGGTTCCAAGTAGCAAGTCTTTGGGGCCAGGGGTGGGGGGCAGATATTTCAACAAATCTGAGGTACCAAGGGCCCTTCCGCAATTGCAACCAGTCAACTAAACACCATATGGCAAGGGAAGCCTCCCTTCTGACAGTTATCATTTGGTGTCTGATTAATTTCAATGGCTTATGAGACAAGCCTCTCCAGACCCTTCCCTAGAGAAGGGGGAGGAGGGGAACTGTCTGTCGTCTTCCCTGTGCTTTGTGCCTTCCAGGCTAGAAAGCATCCTGGTGATGGTGTTCCCATCATTTCCCTTAGTGATGGGGGAGAGGAGAAGGGGGTCTTCTCTGCAAGTTTTTGTTTATCAGACATTGAACCTAAAATTCCCTTTGACTCTTTCCCTTTCCGCTCACTCCAGACAAGCGCTGCAGGAGTGGCGTTCCACTAAGCCCTTCTCGCAGACCCGCCGCCGGACGCCCACCCCAGCTCGCCCCTTCCCCCACGCGCGCAGGCCCGGCGCCAGGTGGCCATGGCTTACCCGTGGGCGCGCTGTCCAGGATGCGCAGGTCGTAGGCCCCAGAGCAGCGGTAGTTGGCGGCGGTGCCGTTGTCCCACACCACCACCACCTCCTCGGGGCTCTCGAAGCTCCGGACCGTGCCCACATGGCCCTCGCCGCCGTCCTGCTTCCCCCACTTCCAGTCCGGGCCGCGGACTACCCGGGCCCCGACCCCTTCCACCATCACCCGGTTATTCCGAGAGTTACTCATCGGGGCCCGAGCGGTGGGCTCCGCCGCTGCTGCTGCTGCTGCTGCTGCTCCTGCTGCTGCTGCTGCT